CCACTAATTCATCAGTCCTGTACCTGTCCTGTCAATCTGTCAATGCCCTTACGTCCCCTCTTATGCCTGAGTGTAACACCCACACCCGCATACGCAGCCATGGGCGTTGCGTCGACTCCTATTAACGTTGCAACGCCCCCTAGTCCTGACCTTGTATGTCTGTCCACTAATTCATCAGTCCTGTACCTGTCCTGTCAATCTGTCAATGCCCTCACGTCCCCTCTTAGGCCTGAGTGTAACACCCACACCAAACTCTATAGGTTTACCATCCCATGTTAGGACTCTTTAACCTCTCAACTGGATAGCAATAAAGTTACAGGTAAATTCATTGACTCTCCTCTTGTTTTTATTTTATAGTTACGATTTATTTCTAAATATTCACAATAAAATCTTTAATCTTATGTCTACCTACTCTATTACATCTAAGGAAATTCAAGAATTCAAAAACAATTGATTTCGCCTATCAAAATTCATATGGCAAAACTCTCAACAAAGTTAGGCTAATTACAAAAATTCTCAAAAAACTTAAAAAGATTGATATATGTGCAGATATGTATAAACGCAGAATCCAATCATAAACCCTATTTCATTAATAATAAACAATTAAAAATAATATTTAACTAAATTAAAAATGACTTCAAACGCGGGATAAATACTTCAGAATTTAGTTAATTGCAATTTCTCTTCTATTTTCTTGATTTAATATGCTTATGTGAATGCCCCTATTTCAATATTTCTAGTGCTTTAATGAACATACGCATATGTACTTCCGTATGTATATGCAAAAGAAGAATAGCCGCGAATATTTAGCACTATGGAACGCAGTAACCAAAACAAAAAATATATATTATATACGTATGTATATATATGTATATATGTACGTAAGTGGGTGTGTATTAACTTATCTTCTCACTCACCTCTAGCATTCCCACGATGCTGGTACTAACATGTAGAGAGGACGCTGAAAAGGGCTGGAAATCGACATACATGTGCATACATAGATATATAGGTATTTGCGGCCAGCTGAGGTCTGACGATCTGCGCTACTTGTTGATTTGGCCACTCGCTCGTGTTTGCGGGCAGCGAGCGAGTCACACGTGCAGTACGTTTTTCGACAATTAATTTATAGGATTTGCGTAAATTACATTAAAAAGCAGAAATATTCACCCGGATTGCAAAAAAAATAAGAAATATAACGTGAAAGTGAATTTAAGAATAGTGTGATAAGAGGTAAAATAAGGCAACAAGTTAAATAAGCAAAACCGGCATTAAAAGAAAAAACTAAGCACACAGTTGCAAGTTGTCATTAAGCATTAAAGTTACAAATCCAAATTAATCAAAATGCAAATTACTGCAAAAAAAAATTGGTTTCTAAAAAAAATCCCTTACAAAAAAATGCGAAAAACAACAATAACCAAAAGCAATGATGACGTCGTCGGTTCTGCTGCGCTGCTGGTCGCGGCGGGGCGGTTGCTATCGACTTTCGTTGGGCGATCTCGCCATTGCTGACCGCGCGACGATGTATGTATGTACGTGGCTGGTGCTGGCGAATGTTCGCTCACTGCAATTCAGCCCACTCTCCCCAGTTCAGCTTACTTGTTCCAGGTGAGTTCTAGTCTGCTCTTCACTTTTTCAGCTTCCCTCACTCTATGTACATCCAGCTTCCAAGTGTTCGAATTTTGTGCAGCGGCCGTTGACCCGCTCCCACCTCCATGTAATCCGGCCAGCTGATCGTTCTATTGTTGTTTTTGCCCTTTTTTTCCTGTATTTTGTCGCTTGCGGATGTGATGGCGAAGTATCTCCTTACGTATGTGTATGTATGTAGGTGTGGGTATTTATATATGTACTCCCTTGTAAATACTTGTTGTTTTCCCAGCAAATGTTGCATGTACATATGGATGTGTGTAGTACTTCGCTAAATTCTTCAACGTTATCGTCGTAGCTATCGGTGCCTCTTGCT